ATGCTCTGCTTGCAGTGGATCTGGCTGGCACTCAGCAGTCTGCATTTCTGCCCTTTCCCTGCAGGACCTCTGGGAATGGAGAGGCTTTTGTGGGGGGAGAGGGCATAAAGTCCACTTGGCTGTCCCAGATCAGGGAGGGCCTTCCTCAGGTGCCTGGACACTCCCAGCCTGCAGGACGCAGGTGTGAGAGGGGGCATGGAATCCACCAGCCCTGCCGACCCTGCTACTCACCCGCAAACCGGAAGCAATTCTGGTGGATTGGGCCGACAGTCTCCTCCCCACACAGCCTGGAGTCCTTTTTCTTGGGTTGCAGAAAGCTGGAGGAGGAGAGTGTATTGGGAGAGAGGCGGGTATTTCTGACCTGGAATGTAGATATGCAGTCTCTGAGGGGGCCTGGGGGATGGGGTGCAGGAAGTGCACACTCTCCAACCGTTCCTATCTATGGGGAAGGGAGGGGGAATCTGCTGAAGTAGGATCATGTGACCAAGGTAATTGAGGGCTTTGTGTCCCTCTGTTGCCTTGGTAACAGGAATATAAACCAAAGATGCCTCTGTAGGGGACTGGAACCGGGTGCTCTGGAGAAGGGAGGACGGTGGGCTGGGAACAGCGGAGAGGGTTGCTGAGGCACTGAGCAGGCCTGAGTAGGGGCACAGGCTAGTGAGGCAAGGCTGGCTGGTCCTGACTCCAGGCAGAGGCTCCGATCTCAGCACTGGGAGCAGAAGAGGGGTGCTCTTTGGCTTTGGCAATGGAAGGGCCTTGTGATTCTGCCTCGGGCCAGGGTCCAGAGGCCTGCGAGCAGGGCCAGGAAGGTAGGGGTATGGGGAAGCCAGAGGGTCCTTTAGGTAGAGGGTAGCCTTGGGGACAGTCTTTGGAGATGAGTGGTAGGCCCCACATGGCCAGAGGGGCTTCTACGTGGGTTTGTGTGGGTGCATTTTGGGGATTGTGGTGTCAATAAGCTCATGTGGCCCTGGAAGTGAGGGGACCCTGCAGGGATCCAGGCAGAGCCCTAAACCCCTTCTTTATCTCTCCTCCCTTCCTTGCCACCCTCCCCAGGACCCCTGCGCTCCATGGTGGAGGACCTGCAATCTGAGGAGTCTGACGAAGATGACTCTTCATCAGGCGAGGAGGCTGCCGGCAAGACAAATGCAGGGAGGGATTCCAGGTGCCCGGGCCAGTGGGGCGGGGGGGTAGGTGGGGGACCCTGGCAGCTTTGCTGGGCTTGTGGGGCCTTGAGGTAAGGCTAGGACAGAAGCATTCCTGGGGGGCGCAAGCAGAGGAAGCATCAGAGCCTACTGGACAGCGCTCTGCCTGGGGCTCACAGTCTCCTGTTATCTGAAGTGGAGGGGTCACAGGTGGCTTCCTTCCTCCTGTCAGAGAAAGGTGTGGCTACCTGGCGGGAAGGGGTGGGATGTTGAGGGGGAGAAGTTCAGGCACCATTTGAGAAGCGGGGAAAGGCTGTGCCCAGTAGCCCTAGGGCCAGCCCTGCTCTGAAGCAGGAGTTGGGGTTGGGGTGGGGGGTGGGCTGGTTCCTCTGTTCTCGGGTCTTGAGATCTTTTCCCCTTCCCTACGTGTGTGGCATAGGTGAGGACAGACTCTGAGAAATGTCCTGTGGACACCCCCAGACCCTTAGAGCGCACCCTTTGAGGATGGCTATGCATTCTCAGCCTCTTGCCGAGAGCAAATGCCAACCTGATTCCAGGCCCAAGGAAGGGGCAGACTCGGGGGTCAAGGATCCCAGTCGGGCCCAGATTCAGCACCTCCTCCAGGACTCAGCAACTCATTAAACCAGGCCGGTCACCCGGTCTACACCCACCAGCACAGGGACGCCTAACAGGTGATTGCAGGCAGTCTGTGTCAGTCTAGCTGATTAAGCCCATCATCCTGAGAGTGTGGCTGTGGAGGCTTTGTGGCGACTTAGCTGGGGAGGGGCCCAAGGAGACTGCCCGTCTCCCAGGACAGGATTAACAGCCACAGCTCCTGCCTCTTTGGTGCTGACAGCATTCGGTGTGGACTCCTACTGGACACCAGGTGCAGTGGTGCAGGGACCAACTGTGTGGAAGCACGTTGAGTGTCCTTTGTTGAGCATCCTTTCGCAGGGCAGACATGGAAGGCCTGGGTGGGGCTTCCCTGGACGCCGAGGGAGCTGGACATCTATTTTCAGGGAAGGGGCCACACAGACCTTGCATTGGCGCTGCAGCTGGTTGGGAGGAGCTAGCCAAGTCCCATTCCATCCTGTTCTGCTCTCTGGGGAGGCCCACAGTCTGCATGGCCTCCAGCTGCCCCTGGTGGACCTGGGAAGAGGGGGACTCGAGGGGGTGTGCAGAGCAGTGGGGCCAAGCCTGGGTCTGGCTGATGTGGTAGTGTCACCTGGGCATCAAGGAGTCACCACCTGTCTTCCCCACTAGAGTGACTCAACTGGGAAGTGGGGGAGAGAGAGGTCTGGGTCTCAGGAGAGCAGAGGCCCCCGAGGCCTGCTGCTTAACAGTGGAAGAAGTGTACCCGAGTAAATGGACAGCCTTGACCTTGGGAGGAATAAGACAGGAGCCCCTGAAGCCCAGGCACTTTTATTAACCACACCCTTGCCTCCTAAGATAGTGGCTGCCTAGAGACAAGTGAGGTTTAGGGGCAGCACTCTTTGCCCACAGGGAGGGGTGTCCCATTGTCAGGTGAGTCTGAGTCAGGCATAGGTCTTGCAGCAGCAGGGTGGCGGAGGCCTGACAGAGCATTGTGTTCCTTGTTCAGGTTGAGCTTCAGTGATAGCGACAGTGACAACAGTGCTGACTCCTGCCTCCCCAGCCGAGAGCCCCCTGCCCCCAAGAAGCCACCCCCACCCAACAGCAAGGTGAGTCCAGAGGGCATTGGTGGGCAGGTTGCCATCACGTTCTAGAGGCAGGGCTGAGGGCTGGGTCATTATTGGTCCTGGGCCTGGGGTTGTCCACGGGTCCCAGGCAGAGAGAGGCTCCGCTCCCCATGATGGGCTTCCCTTAGAGTTTGGGGTCGGAGGAAGGAGGGCTGGTGGGCCTGGGGAGGTGGGAGAGCCTTTGGGGGCTGCGGAAGAGGCATGGGGAAGAGCTGAGAGCACAGACCCGGGTTTGTCCTGCAGGCATCAGGCCGGAGGAGCCCCGAATCCTGCAGCAAGTCTGAGAAGATCCTCAAGAGGGGCACCTATGACAAGGTGGAGGGCTCGGGTCGGGTGGGGTAACCCCGGGCTCCACAGCTGGATGGGTCAGCCCAGGTGTGCTGAGGTGCTGGCCTCAGCAGCATCAGACCAACTTCTGTCCCGGGTCCCCAGCTGTGATGGGCTTCCTCCGGGCTGGGCAGTTGGAAGGGCTGAGGCCACCTGCTGAGTGCCTGTCTGCCACCCCCAGGCCTACACAGATGAACTGGTGGAGCTGCACCGGAGGCTGATGGCCCTGCGGGAGCGCAACGTGCTGCAGCAGGTACTAGGACGGAGCCCGCCCTGCCCTCGGTTCTGCTGAGGACACAGGTTATCACACATGAGTCCCTGGGACAGGGGGTGCCTGTAAGGCCTGCAGGCTGCTAGAACCCCTGGCTGCATCCCCGAGGAGCCTCCTTCTTCTCCTCCACCTCTTCCTCCTCTTCCTTGGGGGTCTGCTGGAGGGTGGGGGACATCCCAGCCCAACTTCCTATCTCCTGAAGCCACCTTGCCTCCTCCTTCCAGATTGTGAACCTCATCGAGGAGACCGGCCACTTCAATGTCACCAACACCACCTTTGACTTTGACCTCTTCTCCCTGGATGAGACCACCGTGCGTAAGCTGCAGAGCTACCTGGAGGCCGTGGCCACATGACCCTGGGCCAGACGCCGGGCCCCTATCATCGGGGTCCCGGGAGGCCACATCCGGACCCCGCCTGCCTTTCTCTCTCTCAACTCACTCGCCCGCAGCACTGCCTTAGTGACCGCCCTGTCCTCGGCCCTCACGGCCAGCTGCACTTTCCTCATTGGCTCCCGGCCTGCCCTCCCCACCAGCTCACCGGGAGCCCTGGGGCCGAGGGGGCCCGGCGGGCGCTGCTGCTGCTCCCTGATATTCAGGGGCCGTCACCTGGGTTCCCCTTGTGTTGAAGGCAGCACTGGGCCTCATTCCTGTATAAGGGAAGAAATGTGCCCGGCGGTGGGAGCCCTGCTCCATGGTGGGATGTGGGGCCTGGTGTCACTGGCCAGGCCTCTCCAAACGGTTCAGACACACCACACCCCAGGACCTCAGAGGATCCAGCTGCTCCAGGCCAGGCCTTGGCTCGTCCTCCATGTGAGCCGGATGCAGCCCCTCTCTTGGCTCTCACTGTGCTGGGACTCCATGCTGTATAGTTGTCTCTCTGTTATGTATGTATGTATGCACTGTAGGTACCAGAGCGGTTTCCGGGTGTGCATTTCTGTGGCAGCAGTGCACGTGGGGGGTGGGGGTAAGGTGGGACTTTAGGTTAAGATGTCTCCACTGGTCTTGTCATTGGACTAGAGGCCGAGCCGGAGCGCCCACTGGCTTTCTCCAAGCACAGGGAGGATCCCCCTCAGTGGTACCAAGGCACCTCGTTCTCCTCCTGGGACTCAAAAGGCACAGTCCGGGCCTGTGAACACTACGATGGAGCAGTAGGTCCTCAGGCGCCTAGTCAGACTGACAGCCGTCTCCAGGAGCAGACCTCCCAGCTCCAGCCAGCTGCAGGCCCCCACTTGTAACGGTGCCCCGGGCCTCGGCCTCTCCTTTCTTCCATAGGATCCTCTTCCTCCTCTCTGTTATCGAGTCTTCAAACTTTGAAAAAAATGAGCTTTTGCCAAATAAGACATGATAGTTTGTGGAGTATTTTCAAGGAGCATGAGGACTCAGAGCCAGCTCCTCTTGCCTGGGCCCCGCCGGTGGCAGGCCTTCCCGGGCACTCCCGTCTCTCTCCGTTTGGGCTTAGCCCTCCGACACCTGCCGTTCACACTCGTCGAGAGTCCCAAGACTCAGTTCCTCGAAGGCCTGAGATTCTCCAAGGTCCAGGCCGGTTCCTCCTCCCTCTGGCCCACCTTCCAGGGTCAGAATGCCCTCACGGAGTCAGCCCACCTTGGGTGGGGCTCCTGATAGCCTGTTTGCTCAGCCTCTATTCTCCCAGACTTTGACTCAAGGCTCCTCCAGTTCCCCCCGACTTTTGCCCTAAACAACATGTGGGGAAAAGGACTGGGGGCCCAGAGATGGGCTCACCTCTCTCCAGCCCACTGTCAGCCCCTCTCCCCAGTTCCCGAGTTCTGATGTGGGTGACCCTTCCCTGTGACCCCTGATTCTCATGTCTGTGCTCCGATCCGTCTGTCAGGCAGACCTTGAACACTCCCGGGTGATCCCCACCTCCAAGGCTTCCATGAATTCCCGCCTTCCTGGTGAGGTCCCCAGAACTCTCGGGGGAAGCCCGAGAACTTTACAGGAAACCATCGTGACTCCTCGCCGTTCACTCAGATTCTCTCCTGACCCCACTGCCTTGAGGCATTGAGAAGAGGTCAGGCCTGCATGGCAGGCCCCGTGCTGTCACCATCCCCTTCTCCTGCCAGGCCAGCAATACTCCAACGTGGGCGCCATTCTTCTCTGGAAACTCCAAGACATTGGACGGAGGAACTGGCTGACGTGGGCTGCTCGAAAGGCAGCAGCTCCCTGGCCCTCTGTGCAGAGGCTGCCAGGGTCACAGGCAGGAGCCTCAGCTCAAGGGCGCTAGTCTTTCTCTGAGGATCTGCTGGAAAGGGCTGCAGGCTTCACACGGCTGCCAAGGCAGCCCTCTGCTTTGGCGCCCCGCTCTCTGGCTCCCCCTCAGTGTCAGCAGCATCTGGCCCTTTCTGCTGTTCCCGGGGCCTTCGGAAGCACCGACCCATTTCTCAGTTACCTCCTCTGGCCAGAAGGCCCCCAGTGCTGTCCTCTGGAGCTGCTCTGGGCCAGTGCTGGCTCGTGACCACCTTGATGGACATGCCAGGTAGCCAGGGCTCTGACCATAGCATTCCCAGCTGCTCCCCTACTTACCCCCCAGCTGCCTGGCAGCTGGGCCCACAAGGGCTCTGGGGACGCTTCCATAGGAAGGGGCAGGCACGTTGTGATTGCCGCGTGTTTAGTGTTAAGCCCTCTGCCCCCAGTGCGAATCTGTGTTTTGCTGTCTCCTGAACAAAATGTAAACCAACACCTGAAAGCAAAAGGTATCGAATACCTTTCTTACCCGTAAGGGTTTTTACCAAGATTGTGTCTCACTAGGAACTAGGACACTTACCAGCCTGAGACCAACTCCTAGATAAAAGGAATAAGGAGAATTGTGTTTGTAATAAGTTACAGGATTGTTTCTGTCCTGGATTTTAAACTTTTTTGTTAAATTGTGAAATTATGGAGGAATTTTATAGGAAAAAAAAGTGAAATAAAGTCAGATGGGAAAGCAGACCTATGAAGTCTGTTTGGTTCCTCCTGTTTTGGAGTTGGTGGGTGGGGGAGACACCAAATACCGTGGGGCCGTTTGTCCCCTCTTCCTGTTCTAGAGCCAGGAAGAGCTGAGAGGGTTGGGGCCGAGCCTGGGAAGCAGCAGGAGGGAGCAGGTGAGGATGAGCAGGTTGGCCTCCTGGAGGACTAGAGATGGTGCCACCAGCAATCCAGGAGGGACAGTATGGCAGAGAACTTGGTCTTGGGTCTTGCTGTTGATGTTGTGTTCTTTCCTTGGATGCTGGCAGCAAGGTTTGGGTTTAAAAAAGCAAGCCTGACTCCAGAAGATGGATGGATGGATGGGAATATGGACAGGTGGGTGGATGGATAGGTGGATGATAGAAAGCTAGACAGAAGGGAAATGTGGGCAAAGACACCCTTTGCTGGATGCTGGACTGCCACCTGCTAGTGTGTGTATGGTGTGTTTTGCCCGGCTCAGTCCCGTTGGGGCATGCAGGAGGCAGCCATAGTCACTGGGTCTCATCGTAAATGATGTCAGACAGCTAGTGGAGGGGCTCGAGCTGCTGGCAGGAGTGATGGCATCACTAGTCATTTGTCCCGAGGCTTTCCTGTGTCTGCATTGATCTGGCATATTGTTTAGGGATGAGGGGTCAGGTAGCTCCTGACCCACCCACCAGCAACCTCAAGCCCAGCTCCCTGGACCAGGAGTTGACCCTCATCAATCATGTCACTCTCACCTTGCCTCTGGGGGCCCAGGAGCCCCATCTCCAGGGTTCAGAGGAGAAAACAAAGGCTCATCTGTGAGAGACTTGCCACCTCGGGTCCATCTGCCGGCCCCTGCAACAGCCTTGCCCCCACCTCCGGGAGCTGCACTGAGTGGTCAGTTGCCTCTCTTCTCCCACCCTCCATTTCCCCAGGACAACAGCCCCCATCTCAGATTGCCATGAGGCTCACAGACAGCCCTGAGGTGCCTTCCGCATGAGCAGGGCACACGGGGACAGGGCGTCCTGGCCCACCAGCACGACGTCGTGAACACTGGGGCTACTTCTTCACCCGCTGCTCAGTGGGGTTCGGATTGTGCCTGGAAATGGTTGTCACATTGGCTCTTGTGGAGGCGCGGTGCAGAGGATACTGTCCCAGGGCAGCACCCTTTGCAGGGGCTCCCGAAGCCCCTCGCTGCCCAGAGATAACAGAAATGAGCCACAGCAGACAAAGGCACCCCCGCCTCCAAGCTGGACGTCAGCCCTGCCTCTTCCTCATGGTGAGCACAACCGGGACCACTGTCCACGCAACGCTGCCAGGTCGGCCAGAGGCAGAGAGGCTCCGGCCCTGGCATTGCCCAGACGGCAAGGAGTTTGTCAGTGTTCAGGAAGCCGGCCTCCGTGTGCATCCAGCCCTGGAGATCAGCCTTCTCCTGGGTGGTCTCCTCAGGCAGGTGCCCCACGAAGATGTTCCAGCTCCAAGTGTGGGCGCCAGGGAGAGATCCCCCTAGCTGGGGGCAGTGGGCAGGGAGGGGCCCGGCCAGATGCAGAGCGCTCTTCTCCCATCCACACAACTGCAGATCCTAGGCCTTCTTGGTCTGTTGGCTCCTGGAGTCCCTCTGATCCGAAGAAGGGGGCAGACAGGAAAGGAAACAGGTCATGGACTCCCAGGGACAGGGAGCCTGGCCAGCCCCACCTCGGAGCCAGGCTCTCGGGGCACATGGATGCGCCACACCCAGCCCCTGGCCACCCGGAGATCACAGATGAGCACATGGGGACAAGGCAAGCCATGGATACACTTGACACCTTTGGGGCAGAACTGGTGGTTGAAGGCGCTGGGCAGAGTAGTGAGAACAGTTAACACAGGTGAGAATGAGGGGTCTCCATGGAAACGGGAGCTTCCTAGCAAGGTACCTGGACAGCAATCCACACCTGGCTTTCCCCCCTCCCCGAGGATGGAGACTCCGGGAAGGGCCTCAGAGCTGGCCCCGCCAACACCGAGGACACACCCCCTGCATGGACTGAATTGTGTCTCCCCAAACTCCCATGTGAAGCCCTAAGCCCCAGTGAGATGGCATTTGGAGGTGATTTGGTTTAGATGAAATTCTGAGGATGGGGTCCTTACAATGGGCTAGGTGCTCTTTAAGGAGACAGAGAGTGGGACGACACAGGGAGGACGTGTGGCTGCTCCCCATCAGGAAGAGGGCCTCATGGGGGACTGGACAGGTGGCAGGCACCTTGATCCCAGACCTCCAGCCCCCAGAACTGAGACACACACACTGTGGCTTACGCGCCCCCAGTCTGGTATTTTGTGTCCAGTCCACGCTAAGAACTACTTCTGAGGGCAGGGACCAGGCTCGTCCTGCTGCCCAGCCCCTAGCACAGCACAAGCTCCACATTCCCACTCAGATGCGCCCTGAAGGAATGAACAAATGGCCTACGGGATGGATGGGACACTGAGTGGCTTCTTATGTGGCTGGTTTCCCACTTGCTAACCCCACTGGCCTGGAGCTGTGTGGTCTTGTGTGGACCGATCTGGGAGCGGAGAGCGCTGTCTGGCTGCTTAGCCCCTAGGCCCCACGCAGGAGGGATGTCTGAGCGGGTTCTCGGCTGTAACGCCAGCACCCGGGACCCTGCCAGCGGGCGGTGACCACTCAGCACACATTCCACGTAGAACAGGCTTCCTAGAAAGCATCGCTGGTCTCAGGATGGAGACTGAGTGTCAGCACCCGCCAGGCACACTGGCCAGGTCACTGCTTCCTGCAGCCTGCCTGCCCCTTTCCCTCTGCCCGGCTGCATGGGAGTGGGGGTGGGGGCTTAAGGAGACCCCAAGGTGAGGAAGTGCTTTGTGATTGGCTCCTTGTCCTGTCTCTGCTGAAAGGTGCAATCTCCCCAAAGCTAACGTGGCTCTAAGGGTGGTGACAGATGCTCCTTGACGGAACGCTGCTCAGGCTCCTCTGAGCTGCCTTCACTGGGCCAGAAGAACTGCAGGCTGTCAGCACAAACTACTTTATCCCCAGCCTGCACGAGCATGTGTGTACACACACACACACACACACACACACACACACGAGGCCTGAGCCAACATCAGCGCAAGGCCACATGCCCAGGGTGACCCCACCACTTAAGTTCCTGCCTGAGAAAGCTCAGTGCTGCCAGGAGAGTTTAGGATTTGTTCCAACCAAACAAAACCTGGGCTGGCCCGATGGGCCCCAGACCCCTCCTAGAGCAGCTGCTTTACAGTTTGCAGTGATAAGCACTTCCTCTGCCCTTTGAGATGCAAAGCTCAGCACCCCCACCCCCACCCCAGAACTGCCTCCTCAGGGGCTGAGAGGGCGGCTGTGGGTGCCGAGCTTCCCTCCTCCCACTTCACGAAGGGCTCCTTGCTCTAACCGACACCGCGGTCACAAACACCAGATGAGCGCTAGTTAATGAACCCAGAGGGCCTGGTTACCTTCCGGGTTTTGTGAATTTCCACTTTCTCAACTGCTCAAATCCCACCCACTCTTCCCACTCCCTCATCCTCCCTGGGCAGTGCCCAGTCACCTCTGCCCAATTGGAAGTAAAGTTCAGCCCACTCTGGACCTCTCCCTGCTGCCACAGTGTGAATAAAACCTGCCCGTTCTCGTTAACTAGTGTCCGGCTTTCTCTTTGCCCGTGGTCACACTTTGAGAGGAGAGCCCTTGGCGTTCGGAGGATTGAGGCTCAGGGAGAAAGCCAGCACGTCGGAAGGGCCATGACCTGCTCCAGGTCCCCCAACTCATCCGTTCCCCCAGCACAGGCTGAATCCTACAGGGAATGCACTTGGGAACCCTGAACTGAATCAGTGGATGAGGAAGCCAGCTTCCAAGATGACCCCCAAAGATGCCCTTGCCCTCCCAGAATCCACATCCTTGTGGAGCCCTCTCCCACCCTAAAAGGGTTGCCCCATGACCTGTCAGGAGTGGTGGCAATGACAAAGTGCCACGTCAGGTCAGAGCGTGACAGGATTGTCAGGTCCAGTGCAGGATGCAGTTAAAATTGGATTACAAACCAAAAGAATACATTTTGTAGTGTAAGTATGTCCCAAATACTGCAAGAGATATAGTTATACTAATGTAAGAAATGAGCTGGGCCCCCCAACGCCGGCGTCCTGGTAGAACACAAAACACACTTGGAGCCCGGCAGCAAGGCAAACATCTTTACTTCTACATCTGTGGTTCTCAACCTTCCTAATGCCGCGACCCTTTAATACAGTTCCTCATGTTGTAGTGACCCCCAATTTCATTGTTACAAATTGAACATAAAGCATAGTGTTTAATCACAAAAACAATATGTAATTATATATGTGTTTTCCGATGGTCTCAGGCGACCCCTGTGAAAGGGTCATTCGACCCCCAAAGGGGTCGCGACCCACAGGTTGAGAACCGCTGTTCTACATAGAAGGGTGCACACATGGCCTGGAAGCACCCACACACCAAGCAGGCTGGCTGCTCGGCTTTATAATCCCTGACACACGTGACCTGCCCCTCACTCTTGATTGGAGCTCAGGCTCACGGGCTTTCCTGATTGGCTAATTCAAAGGGAGGGGCTGGCCTTTGCCGTTTGAAGATGGCAGCCCCCCAGGGGAGCTGCAAGGCATGGGGCCCACATGGCGGCTGCCAAGTCCAAAATGGCGGCTGTCTAAACTGTTCTTTGTCAGAAAAGATGATTTGTTTATTCTCATACTAAGAGCAAGGCCATCTTTCTGAAGTTCAAACTTCACTGGGAGGCTCATATTTCTATTTGCTGAATCCGGCAACCCTAGTCCCAAAGGAGAGTGTGGCTTGCCCCTTGCACTCTCTTGTTTTTCTCATTTGAGGGAAGCCGCTGCCATGTTGGGAGGACCCTCAAGCAGCCCTGTGGACGGGTCATGTAGCAAAGAACCAGAGCCTCCTGCTGCAGCAGCGAGGAACTGGGGCCTCCCCCAGCACTCATGTGGGGAGCCACCTGGGAAGCAACTTCTCCGGCTCCAGTCGAGCCTTCGGATGAGACAGCCCCAGC